ACATTTGGAATATTGTGTTCAGTCTTGGGCTCCTTACCTTAGGAAAGACATTAAATTGTTGGAAAGGGTTCAGAGAAGGGTTACTGGGATGGAGTGTTTGTCATACGAGGAGAGACTGAGATCTTTGAAACTGTCTTCTCTTGAAAAAAGGAGAGTTAGGTGGTATCTGATTGAGGTGTTTGAGATTGAAAAGAGAATTGATAATGTTGATTCATCATCTTTTTTCATATTTAACAGTGAGAATAGTAGGACTAGGGGACACAAATATAAATTCTGGCAAGGTAGGAGTCATCTTTAGCTAAGACAGTTTCATTTTTCTAACAGGGTGGTTGGCCTTTGGAATGGGTTGCCTTCAGATATTGTAGAGGCAGTGAGTTTAAGAAAAAGCTTGATAATTATGTGAATGATAAGGGCTGACTTTAAGATTTATTTTTTAATTATTTTAATTTAGATTAGAGGATGGAACAGCTGAAATGGACCAATAGGTCCCATGTTGTCCCAAAACATTACGTTATGTTAGCAGTTAAAATAAAACAAAGTGCAAAAAAAAGAGCATAGGCATGCATAAAAAGATGAAAGCTTCTGCAGTTCATTATGCTGTAAGACAAAGCTAACTGTAAGCAATCTGTGTAATAGTTTATGGCTCTTTATCATGGTATTAGAAGCCAAATTATGGCATGGTTTAATCTCCCACACACACATACAATAGAGTTTTGTAATCATTGTTAGTTGGAGGTATATAATTCTAAAGCTGACTCCAGTTTTTTCTTAGTTTCTTTCTACAAAATTAGAAACATAAGACATTACATAAAATGACGTATTCTGTATTACCTACAGTATATATGCTCAATGTTCAAGTTATACGAGTTTTATACACATATTAATAGTATGTTTAACGTGCTGCTTTTTAAACAATCAATTTTCAAACTTACTCGTTTCATCTGATCTGGTGTTACTATGACACTAGCAGCCAAAGACTTCAAAAGTTTGCATATCAGGTCCATGGCACGTTCTCCCATATCTTCAATAACCATTACCACAGCCTGAATAAATACAAAACAATAACATTTAATGATTGAATAGAGTTGTTTAAACATTTGTTTAACAAGTAAAAGCTTGGAATGGTCTATTCTTTCATTGGGAGGGGTCTGTGAGCCAGATTAGTTTCAGAGAATTCCACTCCTCATCAGTGACCCTGGACACTACCACCAATGAAATATTAGACCAAATCAAGCCTTTATAGTAGTTATGTATCGAAAATCGAACTGGTGTATTTAAGTGTT